CACACACACACACACACACACACACACACAAACACACACACACACACATACTTCTTTGAAAATCTTCAAAGTTCCCAGGCATGAACAGAAGCCACCCTTAAAGCAGGAAAGAATCTCTGCATGAAGCAAGGGAGGTGGACCAGTGGGAGAGATCAGGCAGGCAGCGGATTTCTCTCATCATAGAAATCACAACTCCTCATCAATCTCCTGGGGACTGGACCATGGCCCAGGGCTAATAATCTATAAATATTTTTTCTTTTATTCCACCTTAGTTAACATAAAAGCTTTTAAAAATTGCACTGAAGGGACTGGAGAGATGTCTCAGCTGTTCAGAGCACCGGCTGCTCTTGCAGGGGACCCAGGTTCAAATTACAGCACCCACATGGTAATTAACAACCACCTGTAATTCCAGCTCCAGGGAATCCAATACCTTTTTCTGTCCTCCGTGGGCACTGCACAATGCAGGTGCACTTACAAACATTCAGGCAATACACTCATACACATAAAATAAAAATAAAACCAAAGCTTCCACTTCTCATACCTCCTCAGAGCTCAGGAGGAAGAGAGCAGGGATATTCTGGGTGGGAGCTTGGTAGTATACCACTGGGTCCATGATGGTACTGCCGAGACAGGATATGGTTCATGTTCATCTGTTTTTACCACCACTAGGTTTTGGCTTCTCTTTAATCAGTAATATTGACTTTGGTGCCGCGTCTTAATAATGATGTGTTTCTGTTCTATATCAATTACATCAAAGAGGCTACCTCGACAAGGTTGCTTCTAAGGTGCATGAATTGTGGGATTTTTCTAAAATAGTCTGATGTGAAGTCACTGGATGAGAAAATGCTGAGATTTGAATTTCCTTGAAATGTAATGCTGTGTTTGAACTTTTAATTGTAAAAAAAAAAAAATTAAAATAAAATTAAAAAAAAATACTTGTGTGTGGTTGTTCCACGTACAGGTCTTTCCCTAAAGCTCTTGTTAATTAAAAATAAAAATAAAAAATAAAAATAACAAGTAAAATAAAATAAATAAAATAAAGTTGCATTGAAGCAAGATGGCTCAGTAAAGGCACTTGCCACCAAGCATGAGAATCTGAGTTCAATTCTTAGTACTCACATGGTGGAAGGAGAGAACCGACTCCCACAAGTTGTCCTTTGACCACACGTGCACTATGGCTTGTTCGTGCTCCCTGCACACACACACTAAATAAATTTAATATTTTTGTTATTTCTTTTTGAGACAGGGTCTTCCTGTAGTCCCAGATGGCCTATAACTTGCTATGTAGACCAGGCTGGCCTTGATCTCACAGAGATCCACCTGCCTCTGCTTCCTGAGTGCTAGAATTAAAGACATGTACCACAATGTGCTCAACAATAAATTTAATTAAAAAAAAAATCATACTGAGTTATTGCTTTACCAAGCCTTTTTTTTTTTTTTTTTTTTTTTTTGCTTTACCAAACTTTTAAGGATGTAAAAGACAGTAGTAAGGCCAGTGTTGAAAAACTAGGGGAAATATAGACCCAGATATCTGCTGGGTGCCTACCAGATGTCAGGCAATAGACATTGATTAAGCCACTGCCTCAAGGAGCTTGCAGTCTATTTCAGTGAAGCAGTAATAGCTGGAATAACAACCTCGTTTATCTAGTGCTTGCATTCCACAGGCATTGTGCAATTTAAACATACATTTTCAATGTGTTTTAATACACAGTTACATAGAATAATTTATTTTAATATGGTAATGTATTAAGTAATGTTTGTTTTATTATACATACATATTTTTGATGCCACAGCAGATTTATGGAAAAGGTATTATATCTTCCCTCTTTTATAAATGAGTAAGTTGAAGCATTGAGAAATTAAGTATCCTTCCCAAAGTCAAGCAGTAAGAACCCAACTAGGAGTCAAAACTAACATTATGAGAAGGTTTGTAGGTGCATAGGTCAGACAGTAGATAGTAGAAATCGAGCTAGAAACTGGGCATGGTGGCACACACCTTTAATTCCAGCACGTGGGAGGCAGAGGCAGGTAGCTCTCTGAGATTAAGCCAAGTCTGGTCTTCATAAAAGAAAGAGAGAGAGACAGGGAGAGAGAGAGAGAGAGGGAGGGAGGGAGGGAGGGAGGGAGGAAGGAAGGAA